CCCCAAAACCCCAAAACCCCAAAACCCCAAGTGCAATACATTCATTATGATGGGTAAATTTAAGAAATAAATAGTAAATTTTCTCATTTTTACTTTACACTCATTGCTTTCTTTTGTTTTGCAGCATTTTTCCAAGCCTTATTTTATTTTAGCTTAACAATGTACTATGTGGGATCTAGATAGTTCATTTTAAATTCCTTGATAATTTTTTTCTCTTCGATCTACTCGTCCTCTCTTTCATTTATCTTCCAGTCATAAATCTATTGAAGTACAGAAATATCTACATTCTCCAGCTCTTTAAGAGTATTTGAAACAGTGTAAAATCTATTGTCTTGCTCATGATATTGCTTTACTGTGTTATCTATGTCCATCATATCGTCAAAAGTTGACTTATTCTCTTATTGGCACGTTTTCAGTATGTTTTCAAGCTATTACTTTGTTTCCACATCTTAGATAAAAATTGCTTTTTTCACCTAAATTTCTTTGCTGTTTTCTGACGGCTATTCCTGCTAGAAAGACATAGAGATTCTAGTAAGACTAAAGTTATCTTGTTTTGCATTCCTTACATCGGATATTGTTTTAAATGGGGATTATACTCTCTTCAGATTATTATACTTTTATATTGCTGTATTCAGTCTAAGTTTTTCTTCAAATACTTTTGAATCTATTGATCTATTTACTATATTATTACTGTCAATTCCATTTCCAATCGCTGTTGTTGCTCGAAAAATATCAGTGGTATTTAAGTTCCTTCTATTTCGATAGTTTCTTACTCTATTAATGCCAACCTAGGTTTAGGCTCTCTACTCTTATTATAATGGACTATCTAATGATTTCGGAGGACTGTTCATAAAATTTGTTAGATCTCTAGGTTTGTTTATTTCAAAACTTTCTTTGCTACCAATATTAAAAGTTTAACCTAGAGTATTTACAATGCTTGTCAACTATTTAGATTTTTTGGCATGTTCAATTCTTTATTGCAACTATTTGACTTAATCTACTTTTACTTTTTTCAAGGCTAGTTATAATAATTACTATTTAGGGTAAATGACTTGATTCATTTACTCATCAACATAGACTTTGTTTCTGTCCTTAAAGATCTTACTATGAATCTAATCATATTATTTCTTGATCATATTACTTATCATGGCTTAGCTTTGAACTAATGGATCTACACCAACACCTTACCTCATCTCCATTGATTTACTAACCGTGCCCTTAACAGGTAAATTCTTTCCTGTCTTCAAATACTTTTCATCCTTGACAGCAATACTCCTACGTTTTTCTCACAATTATTTCATATTTTACTTTAACATACTTTCTTTTTATGCTTGATCCCCTTATGGGTCTTTGATTTTCTCACCATTATTGTTGTATTTTTTGAGATCATTAATTGTCTTTTGGATATCATCTGTCTAAAGAACATCTTGCATTACTCTTTGAAATTCATAATCATCCGTCTTGTCCATATTATTATCAAGTTTATTTATTCTTTAGATGAAATCATTCTTTTTATGTAGATGAAATGCAACTGGCTCGTTAGCATATTTTTCGATTTTTCAAACAAATGGAAGATTTTTATTCATTCTAAGATAAAACTATCCTCTTAAAATATCAAGCTAAGCCTTTCTGGTATCAAATATGTTCGTTTTATTCTTGAGCTCAGTCACATCTCTAAATGCTTGCTCTCCTAGTTATTTTTCAGCTTATTTTATCAACTCTTCTTCGATTGTCTCCATTTTTTCCTCAATAAAAGTGTTGTAGAATTTATTTTGCTTAAGCAACTCAATTTACTTTTTCTCTAGATTCTAAATTTGCTTTTTAAACAACTAATCATAATTGTCTTAGTAATTTTTATTTACATCCTTTCTATCATTTTAATACTTGCTCATTAGGTCACCAAACCCCTCTATAGGAATTTCAGCGATTCCTGTGAATTTTATCTTATTAGACTAAAACATCTTTGTCATTTAATGACGCTCCTTAAGACTAGTAATATCTGAGGTTTTATCTGGTGTCTATGATAATACAGATTTTTACTTTGTATTAAGAGTACTGCTCTAACCACCGTTATTAGTTGATCCGATTGTATTAAAGACATTTTATTTTGTAGTTTTTATCGATAGTTTCCGCTAATTAGGAAAGGAATCTAATGCTGTTCCTCCTTGTGACTTTAATTAAGTCCTGATCAGTGTTGCTGCTCATTACTAGGAATAAGAGATATTTGAATTTCTTTATCTCATAAGAGGAGGCTATTTGAGGGAATTCGTTTAGCTAATTGTAAGTATTTGTGTTTCTTAAGACATAAATAATTTTTGATTGATTCTATAATTTATCAAAATTTTAATTCTACTGTATGCTTTCAATAAGTTGAGAGGGGTTTTGGGGTTTTGGGG